AGTTTATATAATCCAGGGCAGACATGGCTGATGGAATAAGAGAACCACTCATGGCTGATGAAGGCAGAAGAGGGGATCAATGGATGGTTTATCTCAGCACACTTGTTGCTGTCTGTGGCTCTTACGAATTTGGATGCTGTGTAAGTGCTTATTCTGCTTGGAAAAAAAAGTGCTTATTCTGCAGTTTTTTTCCTTCTTTAGCTTTTTATGGATGGTAAATTCTGACAGTAAATCTATGGCTGCCAGGTCGGTTATTCGTCACCTACCCAGTCTGCAATTACGGAAGATCTTAATTTAACATTAGCAGAGGTATGTATAGCTGGTGTGCCATTGCTTTCGGTCTCTAGACGCTGCTCGTGAAGCAGACCTACATAGAGAGAATGCAGGATGACTTTTTGGAGCAGAAATAGCAGCTCCCTAATGCATTAGATTAATCTTGACAACTTCAAAAGCTGAAGTTTCTTCTTCTTCCTTTACATATGTATGCAGTATTCAGTGGTTGGCTCCATTTTGACAATTGGTGCAATGGTAGGAGCCATAACTATCGGGCCTATTGCGGATTTTCTTGGCCGCAAAGGGGTACGATTGGGACTTCGTGTCCAGAACTTTTAGCAGGAAATGAATTCTGTTTCGACTGGTATTCGCTATCCAACAATATCTTCACTATAAAATTGTATGCAGGCCTTGAGAGTGTCTTCTGCTTTCTGTTTTGCAGGTTGGCTTGCTATTTACTTCTCTGAGGTTCGTATTACACCTGAAACTTTTCTGTACTTCTACCTACTAAACGAATATTTTCCTCGAAGATTTGGCCCTAATTTATGCTTTCCATCTTATTGCTTTTGAAGGGGGTTTTGTCTCTGGACATTGGGAGAATGGCAAGTGGATACGGAATGGGAGCCTTTTCGTACTTGGTGAGCTATTACTCTCCTCTATAGCTTGAGTATTTTCTGAGACAGAAAAATTACATATAAATACCTTATAGATGATATTTCAAAACATGTTAAGGTACCTGTTTTCATAGCTGAAATCGCACCCAAAAATCTTCGAGGAAGACTAACTGCTGTAAATCAGGTAAACATGTAACAAGAAATGCAATACTTCGAGCTAACGAGCAACAATTCCGATTATTCATATCTAACTTCTCTTATTCATTTTGTTTCAGTTAATGATCTGTGTTGGAAGCTCTGTTTCCTTCATAATCGGGGTTGTAGTAAGTTGGAGGGCATTAGCATTAATCGGTGAATTACTTAGACAACTGTATTCTTTAAACTCCACGTTATCTAACACATTAGTAGAGGGCTCATTTGTGTTGTGATTTCAGGAATTGTGCCGTGTGCTGTGACTATTTTCGGTCTTTTTTTCATTCCCGAGTCTCCACGATGGTTGGTAAGAAACTACTTTTATTTTACTTTTTACTAATCATTCAGAGGTAAAATTCAACGAAATGAAGACATGGAATATGACTTCACGATCAATGCAGGCAAAGACAGGACGCCATAAAGATTTCGAGGCTGCACTGCAGAAACTTCGTGGCAAAGACGCTGACATCTCTCACGAAGCAGCAGAAATCCAGGTTCTCATCTCCTAACCTACATGACAGAATCTTAAGAGCATCCGTAAGATCGTTTATGTTAAGAAATTCCTTGACAGGATTACATAGCAACTCTTGAACGACTCCCTAAAGCGAAGTTGCTGGATTTGTTTCAAACGAGATACTTGCGCTCAGTCGTTGTAAGCTTCTCTCTTCCATTTCTATAGTCATTTCTATCTTTCCTTGCGTTTGAGTTCACCTTCCATTTGGTTGTTTTTTGTTTGATCAGATTGGCATCGGGCTGATGGTCTGCCAACAATTAGGGGGAATTAACGGGGTTGGTTTCTATGTCAGTGATATTTTTGAGCAAGCAGGTAAAAAGGCCATACTTTCGACAGTACATCTTTGCATTCTGACACTTCTACTACTACTTTATATGTTTTCAGTCTATAACACTCAACTTACGTTCAGTCTGTTATTATCTCCATGAGTGCAAATTGAATCATTTACTTAAGCAAATAATCTTGTTCTACAATTGAAATCTTGATGTTATTGGTCAGGATTCTCATCCAGCGTTGGGACTATATCCTTTGCTGTTCTTCAGGTTCTCAATTCCTACTGTGACAGCATTCGGAATCTTTTAATTTCTGTCCGTAAGAACTGTCTTGAAGTGGTTCTGTTTTACAGGTTGTGGTTACTGGTATTGGTGCATCCGTGATGGATAAAGCCGGAAGAAGGCCTCTAATTGTGGTAAGCCAGTGCGTGATTTTAGTTCCGCGAATTTTCTGAGACAGATTCCTTTTCCTATCCAATATGTTTTAATTTTTATCTCTCTAGCTCTCTGCATCAGGCTTGGTACTCGGATCTCTCCTGACTGCCATTTCATTCTTTCTCAAGGTAATCCTCAACCTTCATTGGTTGACCCTGCCATAGCATGCTCTAGATTTATCCGAAAATAACCTGACAAAGACTGCGCTTTGTGAACCAGGTTCATGACTTGGCACACAAGGCATCTCCCATACTTGCTGTAACCGGCATTCTGGTAAATCTTTAGCCTCGTTGAAATACATCATCCACACAGATCAGTCTCCTTTGACATCGGGTTGTCGTTTATTGTAATTGCATTCTTTAACAACTAGTTTCCGGATTCAGGTCTATATAGGATCCTTTGCGATAGGAATGGGAGCAGTTCCTTGGGTCATTATGTCTGAGGTATACATAACTACTAAGATTTTCACAAATCTATCCATTAATTACCGCTCATCCTGCTAATCTAAACAAATTTCCTGTCGCTGCAGATATTCCCGATAAACATTAAAGGGCAGGCCGGAAGCGTAGCAACACTGGTGAACTGGTTCGGCGCATGGTTGTGTTCCTACACTTTCAACTATCTTATGAGTTGGAGCTCCTACGGTAACTACATTTTCCTTTCTTGTTACACAAGAACTAAAGACTAATACTTATAAATCTCCAAAAGTTATAAGATCTGATAACTTACGTGCCCGCGATTTTCAGGCACCTTCGTTTTGTATGCCGCAATCAACGCACTGGCCATAGCTTTCGTGGTTTCGATGGTACCTGAAACGAAAGGGAAAACCCTGGAACAGATTCAAGGAGCCATTAACAAGTAGAGAACAAAAGGAAGAAAACGAAAAGAAATGAGGAGCATTTGTTTACTGCAGTAATTCTGCGTGAAAATTTAGACAAATGAATGCAGAAACTTGGCAGATGAAATCTTTGAAAACCAGAAGAATATTTTGCTGCTATTTTCCCAGATAATAAAACCAATTCGCGACACAATTAGGTTTTCTTTTGTTGCAAGAAATGTTTGATATTTTATTATTTATTTGCTTCATTTTTGCCTTTTGTTTAACCATTAATAGACCAGAAAATTAATTTTCACCTGTGGGAAAAAGGAGGAAAAGGAAATGGCTTATTTGCGCTAATGCAGAACTTACCTACAATATCTTAAACCAATCACATCCAATCATGTGAGAAACTTAAACGTGCGACATCCATGTTATTTTCTCTTGGATTGGGGTCTTTTTTGCATGTTGTTAGTGTTTTAACTTTTAAAAGAAAAGTGAACGACATGTTGATATTTTCAATTTGAATAGAACAATAATATTAAGTGTGTTCTAAAATTTCTGCCTAATGCTACCTAGGCCCTGCCTAGACACTAAGTAGGCGACTAGCCACCTCCTTGATTTATTCTTAGGCATTTGAATAAGAAAAGACGCCCACACCTGGCTAGGCGCCCGCCTAATTCACCTAAACCCGCCTAAGTAGTGATTCTCATTTAGATATAAAATAGATAACTTTTATTTTGCATTTTAGTTTTTCAATAAATTTTAAGACACTTGTTGAATACTTGGATGAGCACTCATTAAATTTTAAGAGCCCCATGTTTCCAATATGTTCTGATAATATAGACATTTTATTTTATTTTATAAAGAATGTCATAATAAATTTAATCAAAACTTAAAAAACCGGCTCACGTAGATACGAGAACCTAGAGGTCCGACTGACTAGCGCCTAGCGTTTTTTAACTCCGTGTTCCACCTTCGAAAACAATGAAGAAACCAACTGTCATTTATGAACTTCTAAAACTCTATGATTAAGATGTCTCCTTAATTATTTGCATGCAAACAAATTCAAAACGATAAAGATTATTATTATTATTATCGTCGTTTTATTAAAAGGATTAGTGCTGGGATGCACTGCCTTGTCAGCAAATACACAATTTGCAGCAATCTTTTGAGCAAGTCAAGTTTTTAACTAATTGAGCACCAGAATTGCCTACTTTTCAGGCTCCTTTGTTCAAACGTATTAAACAGAAACAGAAACAATGCCATCAAAGAGGCAGTTTTAGTTTTGCACAAGAAAGCTTACGAAAATGATTCTTACGTCGAAAATTTAGAAGTTTTTTACATCCCTTCTGATCTCGGTTTGAATCTTCCTTCCTTTTGACATTTGTAAAGATTCATAAACGTACTAGAGAGTCATATAATCGGGCAGGCATGGCCATTGAAGATCTATCAAAGAATGCTTGTTAATGGGAGGATATTCAGACAGCTGATCAGATGCAAAAGGCAATGGAGATGGATCCTGGTTGGAAGGTGGCTCTTAAATTTGATCAATGGAATTTTTATATTTGGTTTTCAGTCTGTGATTTTGGTTGGCAGTGTATTAGGATTTCGCAGCTTAAGCTACAGAGTCGTCTCTAGTGAGTGGATGTCTCGGATTAGAGCTGCAATGGGTTAAAAGTGAGCATTATTGTAATTGTGAGTGGCTCTTCCTGCAGTTTCATCTTTGAGAAAAACATTCTGCATCATAATTTATGGATTTGAAAACTGAAAATCTTACCTTCTTGTGCATCTGTATGCAGTATTCAATGTTTGGCTCCATTTTGACATTTGGTGCAATGATAGGTGCTATCACAATCGGGCCGATCACTGATTTTCTTGGTCGAAAAGGGGTATGAGTTCGAAAATTATGTCACATATAGACATCACCTAATTTGGTTCACCGATATTCGCTGTCTAACAGTATCAATACTGTAAAATTGTGTGCAGGCATTGAGAATGTCCTGCGTTTTCTGTGTTGCAGGCTGGCTTGCTATTTACTTCTCCAAGGTTCGTACTAATTTTATGCTGGAATTTCTCTGTGATTTTACCTTCTCAGTAAATATTTGACCTTATTCGCGTTCTTCATCATTTTCTGTTGAAGGGGGCTGTGTCTCTGGATGTCGGAAGAGTGGCAACTGGGTACGGAAGTGGAGCATTTTCGTACATTGTGAGTCATCACCCTCTTCTGCATTTGAGTATTTTGTGACACCAAACTATAACTATTTAAAGATTCAACACATGTTATCGACATAGTCTGATGGAATAATGGGTGGATTGTAATAAGGTACCTGTTTTCGTAGCTGAGATTGCGCCAAAAAATCTTCGAGGAAGACTAACTGCTGTAAATCAGGTAAACATGTAATGAGAAATGAATTCCATTTTGGACCATAACTAACGTTGCCTTATGCACATTTTATAGTTAATGATCGTTTCTGGAGTGTCCGTTTCCTTCATTATCGGGGTGGTAGTGCATTGGCGGGCTTTAGCACTAATTGGTGAATTTCTGAGACAAAATGTGCTTTTAGTTAGAACACCCTATGATATGTAATTAAGTGAGTACTCACCTGTGCGATGATTGCAGGAATTGTTCCCTGTGCTGTGATCATTTTCGGTCTCTTTTTCATTCCCGAGTCTCCAAGATGGTTGGTAAGAAAGTACTCTTTTGCATTTTCTGTTTATCTGATGGCAACATTCAATAAAAAGAAGACATCATTACAAATTCATCATGGATGCAGGCAAAGACAGGACGCCGGAAAGAGTTTGAATTAGCTCTGCAGAAACTTCGCGGCAAAGACGCTGACATATCTGATGAAGCAGCAGAAATCCAGGTTCTTATTTTTAATACCTGCTCTCCATCTCCTTGACCATAATGACAATATGTTTGAGCATTTCGAAGATCATATATTTAAAGTAATACTGTGTAATACATTGGCAGGAGTATATCGCAACTCTTGATCGGCTCCCTCAATCCAAATTGCTCGATTTGTTTCAAACGAGATACTTGCGCTCGGTCATTGTAAGAACTTCTCCCTACACCATGTGTACAGTCAATTTTATTGTTCTTTCCCTGAAGCCAAATTGCTTGATTTGTTTCAGATTGCAGTCGGGTTGATGGTCTGTCAACAATTGGGGGGAATCAACGGGGTCTGTTTCTATGTCAGTGATATATTTGAGCAAGCAGGTATATATATACAATTTCAATATACCTGTCTGTATCTTTTTCATTTTCCAGAGTGCAAACTGACTCACTTAAGAAAGATATTGTTTTCTACATCAGGATTTTCTCCAGACATCGGAACTATAACCTACGCCATTCTTCAGGTTCTACATACATACTGTGACAACTCTTGGAATATTTCAATTTCTCTCAGTTATAAGCATCTTGATCTGGTTCTGATCTACAGGTTGTCGTAACTGGCCTTGGTGCAGCCGTGATGGATAAAGCGGGAAGAAAGCCTCTAATTTTGGTAAGTTAGAGCACAGTTTTAGTTCTTGAGAATTTTATGAGACAGATTCCTATTCATACGCGGAAGTTTTAACTTTTTCCCAATTTACTCTAGGCTTCTGCATCAGGGTTGATACTTGGCTGTGTCCTTGTTGCCATTTCATTCTTTCTGAAGGTAATCCTCGAACATTGACCCTAATCTTGGTGTTTAGCTTTATCTAAACGATGACAAGAGAGCTCTTTGTTAACCAGGTTCATGAATTGGTACTCGACGCAGCTCCCATATTTGCTGTAGCAGGCATATTGGTAAGTAACTCCTTTAATTCATCCATGCAGATCAGTTTGAAAACTATCTTTTTCGTGTATTTTCTTCTCCTTACATTCTTTAACTAACAGTTAGTTTCTGAATTCAGATCTTTATAGGATCTTTTTCGATAGGAATGGGAGCAGTTCCGTGGGTTATAATGTCGGAGGTATATAAGATTTGCAAGATTTACTCATTTCTCCATCAATCGTTGTCTTGATCAAGTCACCAATCTAAAGAAAAATTCTATCCTCTACAGATATTCCCTATAAACATTAAAGGACAGGCCGGAAGCTTAACAACGTTGGTGAACTGGGTTGGTGCATGGTTGTGTTCCTACACTTTCAACTTTCTTATGAGTTGGAACTCATATGGTAAATAAAATCAACACTTTCCATTCTAATTACATTGGAAGGAGTAATATTCGGTAGAGTAAACTTATAAAGCTATCTAAATGTACATGGTAGTTACTAATGAAAGTTATAAAGCAAGTTGTTAACTTACTTGTGCGTGATTTTCAGGTACCTTCATTCTGTATGCAGTGGTCAACGTTCTCGCTGTGTTGTTCGTGATTGCTCTTGTACCTGAAACAAAGGGAAAAACCCTGGAACAAATCCAAGGAGAAATTAACAATTAAAAGGAACCAAAGAAATGAAGAGCAACCGTTGTCCAAAATCCTCATTGAAAATGGACTGCTTTATTTAGATAATTAAATTGATTCATGATAGAACTACATTTGTTGTAATATATATATATATATATATATATATATATATATATATATATAATGCTTTTATTTACCACGCAAGAGCAGTAAAGTAACAAGAACCAGAATATAAACAGACTAGCAGACATCCTGGTTATCGAACAAATATTACAAGATTCGTTTTACAACAATGATGGTACACTATGTCTGTAATTTGGGATCCAACATGACATATCTGACAGCAACAGAACTCATCCTGCCAAGAGTAAATGTTGTATTATTTTCCCAATGAATAATTCAGGTAATCGTAATAAGAGAAGATTCTTCAAGCAACCGAACAATTTCACTATTTCTTATGATCTTGGGTGGTTTATATTGACTAGCTGGTGCTCCATTCCGGATGGCTACCTGTGATAGTCTGTTAAAGCTACCGGACTTTACAACATATAACAGCAAAGGGCCTGCTTCACCTCTATCTCTCTGCACCTTGTAAATGCTTCCCAAACCATCCTCGATGGAGGAACAACACCTCCTAAGAACTACAAGCGAGTCCTCTATCTTCTCCTGTGTAAACAACATGCATCCCTCTCCAACTTCTGCAAATACCTTCAACTGTTTTGGGCTCAACTCAGTATCTAAAAAACTTGCAACTCAGTAATCTCCATTGCCATTGCATTTTCAAGCATAAGCTGGAAACCTTGCATTGCACACATCAAGTCCTTCTCGGTTATAATCTCACCTGGGCCTTTGGGTGCTCTCATCACAAATTCAACTTCTGGAGACAAATTATAAAAACCAACAACTCTCACTATATCACCCAAATGGTACCGGTAAAATCCTCTGTAAGTAGTAACAACCACTTGATACATCTTCCCCACCTCAACACCAGAAACATCGACCGTTTCTGTACCGGCATCATTAGTCTCGTTCATATCGAATGGAAGAAACTCAAAATAGGCGGCAGTTGGAAGCAAAACAAATTTAGTTTTCTCAGGGGGTTGCGTAATATCCAAGTTGATACCCACACAGCATTCCGAAGCGAAGTAGTCTCCACCTAACAGAGGTATCTCTCCTGCATATTGCTTAAGTTTTGGATAATACTGCTGCATACTTCCAGTAGCAACACACTTAACATAACGAGCATTTGGCCACAACTTGCTCACAATCCCACTCCAACTCTTCCCCTCAAAAACTGTCCGAAGTCTCTTTGCCAAGTCCGGTTGAGGCCCACCAAGGACATCAACAACAGAATCCCTCATTGCAACATCAGCAATCTCCAAACTCGGGATCCCGTGTTCAAGGTCATTACACATCTGCTCCCACTTGGACTCAAGGAGGCGAAACACTTTGATCAAGCCTATTGCATAAGGGGCTCGAATTGCATCGATTGAATCACAGTTCCTGAGGCCACAAAGGAGATGGCAATACATCTGGTGCTCAACATTCGACCCGAGAATGACTTCCGGGGGACTCGAAATAAAGCTAAGCTGAGACCAATTTGCATTGCCACTCTGCAAAGGGTATGTCGAAGCAGCCATAACCTTAAAACCACCTCGTGTAGTTGTCACATTATCGGCATATATAAACCACATTATCTTATTCACTGAGGGCCTCGGAGGAAACAGCCTAGTGCAAATTTTTAAGACAAACCCATTACTCAAAATCCAAATATCATACAAAATAAAAAATAAAAAAAAAACTACAAATTTACAGGTAAAAATCATTAAAAGTCATAAGAAATTCGAGAAAAAAGAGCAAATTACTGGTAAAATTCAATTTTTTTTTCTTTTCAAAAATTATACCTTCTGAGAATTGCAGAACTGCCCTGGTGAGCTATAAAGGAGGCGGCTTTGGAGAGTTTGGAATCGAAGTAAGGTATCAACTTTGGCCTCGGTGAGCTTGTCCCGGAGCTTCAAAACCCCAAATAAAAAGAATCGATTTTTCATTCGATTGACGAAGAATCAAAGCAGAAAGTGATTTTATATACATATATGTACGTATATGTATATCAATACATGTATATTATACCTGTAGAAGAAGCAGAGCAGTGGATCGACTGAGAGGAGAGGCTGTTGACGATGAATATGTGGAGTGTCGGCCATTTGATTGATGAATTCGGCGTAGTCGTCGTAGGTAGACAGCGGCACGGAGCGACGGAATGCGGCGGCGTCCGGCGGCGTATCCTGGGGAGAGAGGTAAGGCTGGAGATAGGCGACGGAGCCGTTCTGGTCGAGGATGGAGCGGAGGGCGTCGATCTGGTGTAGCGCGGCGCTTCTGGTGGAGTCATCGAGTTTGGTTAGCAGCTCGTCGTCCGTCATGTCGTTCGGGAGGGGCGATCGCGCGGAAGAAGAAGAACAGAGAAACAGCGCGCTTTGGTTTCAACGGAGGTGGCACGTAGAGCACTAATTAACGCCCAAAAGACAATTATGCCAATATAGGGAAAATGGTAATTGTATCTTTACTATTTGAAAATTTATTTATTTATTTATTTTTTTTTTTTTTGTTATTGACATCGGAGGATAAGCTCGAAAGAAAAAGAAAGATTACATAAAAATATTTAGAGGTGACGAAACTTCAGTTATATCTGCAACTAGTAATAGACGACAAAAAGGAAGAGTTTTTTGTTAAGAAAAACTGGACCCAAACTGCATGACAAACTCAAACGAGCAAAATTAATAGCAACAAAATTCTTTTGTCGATAAATAGTTTTTTGTTAAGAAAAACTGGACCCAAACTGCATGGCAAACTCAAACGAGCAAAATTAACAGCAACAAAATTCTTTTGTCGATAAATATGAAGAATTCACAAAATCATCTTTGATACGTAATAGCATGACAATTCAATACTAAACTTCCCAAGAGGATCATTCATTGGGGGGTCTCCATTCTGTTTGCACCATTTTCTCAAAACAATGGAAGAAGCAGAGAGGCTAAACAGAGTCTACAGAGGGAGGCTACGATGATGTGGACTATCAGGCCATTTTAACCCATCAATTCGGCGTAGCCGTCTTTCGAAGACAACGGCGTGGCGGTATGCGGTGGCGCTTTGTGGTTGTTCTTGCGGCGGGAGGTAAGGCTAGAGACAATATACGACGCCGTTGGTGGATGTTGAAGCAGCAGGGTATCCAATACATATAGTTAGTGATTAAAACTGATACAGTTAAGTAAATAAAAATTACAAACTATAAATTAAATACATATGTAAAGAGAAGATAGTGGAAACTAAACCGAGTGACTTTATGCAAAATCGAGCGTAATGGCGTTCAATGATTCGCCGACACCACTCAGTCAGATAAGCCTTGTTTGTTGACAGCAGAAATGCATGCAAGAATGCTTAATTAACAATTGTGCTCTGCTTAATTAGATAATTAATTGGGGGATGAAGTCTTGGAAGTTGAAGACAGAGAGCAGTAAGAAAACCAAAGCTACTGCAAATGGACCCACCGCCGCAGAAAGGAGGAAGATCGTCAGGTGAGGACGGCGACGATCGTGACCGTCGGAAGAATCGCCGTAGTGTTGGTTTTCTTGAACATTCCGACAGGCAGAGGCAGTTGTTGGGTGGTGGCATTGGAAATTATGGGATCGTCGGTACGGGAACGGACGGTCAAGATTCACTGGAAGATAAGGAGGATCGTTACTACGCTAGCTGCAGAGGCGGCGGCCGCTGTGACAGTCGGAGGTTGGACTTCGACTTCAAGATGAGTACGGAAATCCTAGGCTCCGAGAGCGGCGATCATTTCACGGCGGAGGACGACGACGGCTTACTGCCAACAAGATTAATATCGTCGTCTTCTTCAGCAACATCAGCACTGAAAACGACGTCGGGGATGTTGAAAACAGAAAGGTCGGTGACGGCGAGGGATTTCCCGCCAAATTTGGCGCCAATTCAATTCTTGTCGACGCTCAACAGGTGCGGACGGCCTAAATTCATTGTCGAGAAAGTGAGTATGAGCGATGGACGGCTCTTGATTTACATGGACAAGGACCGCCGCCCCAGGGCTGCTCCAGCTGATAATTGGAGGAGGAGCACCGATAGTAATGCCGCAGGCGGAGGAGTTAATAACGGAGCCGCCGTGAGCAAGAAACTTGTGCTTTCTTACAATTCTGATTCTGATCAAGAACAAGAAGATGATGATCAGATATTGGTGGAAAAAGATGGTCAAGAAAATTAGAAGAACGTAGAATTTTTTACCCAATTTTGATTTTCTAAATTTCATATAACTCAGCATTAATCACCTGTTAATTAGCCCATATTAGTGATAAAGAAATTTTTAGTGTGCCGGAAAAACAGGTTCATATACCAAGTGTCATATACAATTTGATTGCGTTTATAGCCTTCTTTTGATTTTATATATAGATATTTTAGCTTAATCTAATCTTAAACTCGAAGAAGGGGAATTTGAACTTGATTTCATAGGAGTACACATCCACTCTAATTTGCCTAAATTAAGCATTGGAGTTAAATAATGTGGTCTTAATCAATTAATTAGGAGTTTCCAATTAATTCAACAGGTACACGTATCTTTTCCACTGAAAGAAAGCGTTGTATACCATTAGTCAAATGATGTCGAATTAGTTATGAAAAGTCACATTTTTTTAATACGCAATACCTGGGTCTCATAAAACCATTGACATTTAGTGTAGAAAATTAGAATTAATTCTTACTCTTGAGAAATAGGTTTTCCCACTATGTTTCTCTCGTTCTTTGTTGTTCAATTTCAAGTCGTGTCTTGAAAATACGAAATATATAAAGTTTGTCAGAGTCCGAAAATGACGGTCCTTTGACTTCGGATTTATAGATTGTTGAATTCTGGGAGACAGATGCCTACCAAACTACAACCACAAGTAGCAGGGACGAAGCTAGAAATTTGTAAGAATGGGCGCATCCTCAAACAACAAAGTTACAATTAAAAAACACAAGAATTTACTAAATAAAACACTTATATAATAATCCATAAAGTTTTTTTCATAGAACATATTACAATATCCCTCGACTCGTATTCATGTTTAGTAGGGCATTGGGTGTAACAACTCGTCCCTTATTTTACGATTTTATTAATTTTAAAGGAGTGAGTTGACGAAAATGCCCTTTGAGGCAAGATTGTTGACTTTCGTTGAACGTCTTTTCTTTATGCGTACGAGCTATTATTTTACCGTATTCTCGAAGTACTCGACGGTATGAATGCATAGGTGCAAGCGGAATCGAATTCGGAATGACGGCGAAGATTTTATGAAACTACAAATCTGAAAATACTTTTGCCAAAATTACTATTTTAATTTTTTTTCATAATTATTATATTATTATTTTAATATTTTCTGATTGAATGTTTTAAATATTATATTAATTTATTTTTGTCATGTGGGCCCGCACCTCACGACTCTCCACTTTCCTCTTGCCATGTGTCCCTCTCTCCAAATTGTCAGTCTCTTTCTAATCTCTCATCTCTATCAGCTTTCTCTCTCTCACCTCTCCAGTAGCTTTTTCCCCAATAGAAACAACAACAATGCCCACCGCCACTCTTCCTCCAGTGAACCACCCAGACCACCAACCCTTTTCATTTTCAAACACCACAAGCGAAAAGCCGCCACAAGCACCATGTCTAGGTAGCCATTCTGAGAACCTAGTTGCTGTCGTTGAGCCAAGGAGCTATGGCGAGGAATTTTAGTTTCCCAATGAAAATCTCGTAAATTCTAGTGAAGGTAACGTTTGAAAACCCTTTAAAACCTAGTAGATCATGTTTTGGTGTACATTTCGAGTAGTTTTGAGAAGTTTGGTGACTTTTGGAACGCAGAGACCTCAGAGAAAATGATTCTCCAATTTTTCGACGATTTTCAAGCCCTTTTCCGACCAACTCTAGCCACGGTCGAGGAACCCAATGGTATATTTTGATTCCTTATTTCTTGGGCTTCAACTTGATATATTGGGTTGCTAGTTTTAGTTGATATTTGAAGCTAAATAGAGCCGGGGAAGTTTCCCGGCCAAATTTTCCAATTTCGACCTTTCTCCTTTGTTGGGTCCGGCCGACCTGCAAGCCCAACAGGTCAACCCGACCAAAGAAAAAAAAGGAAGATTTGCGGCCCAGATCCGAATCCGAACTTGGGATCTGGCCCGGCCCACTTACCAAATGGAATATTCCAGGAATATTTTCTGGAATATTTCTTGGCATATTCTTTAGAATATATTCTATTGACTTTTTCGAAGTTTTCTCGGAAACTCTCCTAATCTAATTTCGTGAGCCCCTTTTTTATATTCATTTAGTGAAATTCCCAAGTTTTGGACCCCTCTTAACGAATTTCAACGCCCTGATTCCAAATTCGCACTATGTTTCCCAAATTTAATCATTTTATTTGAGTTTTACTAATGAGTCCCATTATTATGCTTAGGTACGTTTAACATCGGCGATCCATATTTACTCGTTCGAACGGCTGCAACTTCAAAAGTATCTGTGAGTGGGTCTTTTTTTTTATATAGTATATATATTTGTTAGTTTCCACACACACACACACACACGTATATTTATATATATATATATATATATATATTAATGAATTTTCTATGTGATTGCCATAATTAAAGTAACGGTTATAAGGAAACGTCGTATTGTTTGGAAATTATCATTAATCATACGGGATGCACAGGTAAGCGGACTATGGGGAATGCCTTAAATATATTTACAGCTCATAAATAGTATTATATTGACTATAATTGTTGAATTATTGTGGCATGATCATATTTACGTTATATGCTCATCGTGTGCTACACTGGTGTTAGTACTTGTCTGGGCCAGTCTTCACTTGTATGTTGACATCGCACCGTACGCTTACTTTGGATCCATTGTAGGTGCTAGTCATGTCCTAGATTGCTATAGGTAATTAGGACTAGTATGTGACACGCATAGCGCTAGTCTTTATGTAATTGTAGTACTAGAGCGTAAATTATTATTACACCCAGTCATGTTCATGCCAGAATACCTCTGCATGAATTCATGTGTCAACATATGTCGATGAGCACCCGTTTTGATATTCGTTTATGTGAGTTATTATGGTTGTCGTACGCTATGGGTTATTTATGAAATATTGTCGTATGTTATGTGTTGGAAACTATACTTGTTTTACGGCAATGGGTTATTACGTTTTCAAAAAGGTTTTATAAAGATTTATTTTTAGGCCCACTCACCCTTGTTTTTCGCCCATCCAGGTTTTAGTAGCTGAGCTTTCGTGTCTACGAGGACTCCTGGTAAATCTTGGTATAGGTGACTACCTTCTATGGTATAATTCTTAATGTACTTCTACTGTACTTTACTTATGCTCTGACATTACGTGTGAATTGGGTTCAATCCCACTCACGGCCAACACAGCTCGATTCAGAGTCCAGGTGGACATTTCAGGTCGGGAATGCAAAACGATGAACTATTTTAATTG